TTCATTGAGATAATTGAAAAAAATATGAGGGTAACTGTACGGTTGAATTCTAATCTACTTTTTAAGTGAGTTATAAATGGGAAACAGCATCTACTATGCCATGAACATACAGGAAAGTATCTGAGGTCCATTCCCTTATCCAGAAATTAAATGTGACACCTCTTTTCCCACGAAATTTTTACAGGGACCTGGAAGTTAAACTGGTGGACAGATATACTGGATTATGAACCTGTTGAGCTGCTCCAACTAAGAATGTATGTGGGTGCAGCGGTAAACAAAATACCATTGATTAATGATGTCTTCTCAGTTGTACCATGTTGAATAATGAAACTCCTGTAACAAAAGTAAGGCAACTTGGTCTCTGCTTAATTAATGTATACTTGAAAGTTGGCCTCTGGTCTCTTCGAATGGAATCTCGCATAAAGCTTTCCATGTATATATGATGTATAATTATATTGTTTTAAAATCTGTCATTTTAAATAAATACTCAGTGCAAAATGTATTGAACTATTACCTTATTTTGGTCAAATGCCCTGAAACAAATGATTACTGACGCTTGGAATTAAGTTTCGCAAGTACATTTTGTGCATTGGCCCTGCTGTGTGTATACATTTCCCATGCAGTTTTAATCAAAAGGGTCGATAGATCGGAGCCTACAGTTCATTGTCTACTTTACACAGCCACGATCTTTGCTCATCAAAAAATCTGTGAAGTTACTGAAAGACAATCCCTACCATCTGTACACGTGCTGTAACTAAAGTCTGAAAGTTTTTGCTTTGATGCCTGTCAGTCTTTTAGCACCATAAAGATCACAGCCTGGAATTTGCAATGGCTTTGTGAGCTGCACTCATGGATTAATATTTCCAAGTGAATAAACGCAGGCAACAGATTTGACAAAAATGGTTATCGCGTAGTTTTAACGAGTTGCTCCGGGCAATTTTAGGTCTGTTGCAAAATCTTTTCAGTTAAAAAAAACATGGCATTTCTTTCATTCGCATGCATGTGTTTTTAAAACCATGACTTACATGTCCGAAAACTTCAGGCTGCTGGCAAAAGTTGCATTTTGGGGGAGATGGAGGATTAATCAAATGTCTTTAAAAGACGCATGCAGCTATCATCCACAGTCGTGCTTATAAATCGCATGGCTAACATTTACTTGATGTAATCGCTCTTGATAGTTGAGCGTTAGTAAATGATTCGCTGGGAAGGGGTAATTATTGACATCAGTGTAGCTAAATACTTAACATTTCAACTATGAGAAAACGGAACGTAATTTATCAAGTATATCTTACATGACAAATAATGGTAACTTAACCACAAGATATAATTTAATGAGTATATCTTTCCGCAAATAAATCGCTGCACCGCAGCTAGTCCGTGTTAAACTCGGATTTGTCGAGAGTAATATCACACTCCAGTGGTGACTAATGGAGTTGTTCGGCAAGGAAACTATAAATTTGTCTTGTTAAATTAAAACATAAGCTCCAATAACTTTGCAATGCAAGCACTTAATGGCCTTCTAGTGCAGAATGGCTACCTTAGCACATATGGTGGCCTAACAGTCAAACTATATTTCGAAGTGAGTATGTGTCATGCCTCCATTTACTTTCACACAATTACTTTTGCTTTGTTCTTTGTAAATATTCCCGTTCGAATATAATCATATCACAGTATACTTTAGCATTATGTGTCCACTGCTTACACTTTAGATAGTGGCAAGTTGTAAAAGTGCCGCATCATCTCAGTATATATTGTACTTTAAGCATAATTTAACTGTCAAACAATGCCCTATTGAAAATTTCTGGATGAATTTTAAATTTTGAAAGAAATAAATTGATATATAAAGTACGTACGTTAAGTTGATTCAATAAGTTTAAATCCCCACTAATAAGTGACACAGCTGATAGGTCGCTAGATCTCGCTTAATCTTCACATTGAAAATTCCTAAGTTTATTTGCGTATATTGTAATATTTTTGGAATTGCGTTAAGTTTAAAAATATCGTTCCTGTAAAGCTATCGTTCATGGGCATGTACGAGAGGAATGAATTATACGAAGCACTTTCAATAGATTTTTAAAATTAGCACTTTAGAGTTGACACAGTTAATAACTAGAAGCAGAATCTATGCTAGTTGGCGTAAACCACGCAACTAATTGCCTTTTTGTATATTAACAAGGAACGTAACCTTTCAAAACTTGTCAGGTAAAGGTACTATTCATTTAAATGACGTGTCAGATTTTTTTTAAGATGAAATTTGTCTTAAATAGAACAAGTCCTATAGTGTCCAATTGCCACGTTACAAATTCAGAACTGTTCTGTACTGTGGTCAAATCTAGTCTTTTTGCCATTTTATTTTCAACACAGGATTCCTTTCAGACTTCTCGAGACTAAATAACAGCCAGCTGTACAATCCTCCGTATCAAAAGTAAAGCCTGATGAGAATACGCCAAACTAGCGCTGGATAGAAATCAGTCTCTCATTTAAAGTAGGATAGAGTTTATTATGTTTTGATATAAATGCTATAGTTCAAACAATGGCAATGTCTTTCCCTTGCGCTTGTTTTTCTTAAGGAAGAGGAATGTTGTTTGTAAATCAGGCTTCACGATGTCAAACACACACAATTAAAACGCTAGCTTGCCTATTTACTAAAAACTAATCAATAGATATTGATACCGACACAATAAAACAGGAACTTCTAAACTTCCCAGCCTCTGCCCAATAATGTTAATTGCATCACCTTTCTAACAGTGAGTGAAGTTTATATTTCTATTTGCTGCCATTTTTCAACTGTTAATATTTAACAGTAAAATTGTACACTGTTTACCTTTGTTTGTACCTCATCTAATTAATTACCAAGAAATTGATGGCATTTTAATTAAATACTGGACAAGATAACACGCTAGGGTATCGAATCTTATTTTTTTTTCATTTCAAATGAACAGTTACTGATGTCCCAACTGAAGCTAACATCTTAATGAAAAGTTTATATTCATATCCATGCGCTAATATTGAGGTAATTAAATTTACACATAAAGGAAAACAGGCGGAACATTTCTGGAGATATTGGTATTTATAATCGTATTTTTTAGTTTGACGGTGATTAGAAATAAAGTATTTTCAGTTCTCTGGTTGTTAAATACGTTACCTTCATTAATGTTCATATGAAACATCACATGCGTTAAACTACGTAAAATCTTACGGTAACGTATACAAATTCGAACGAAAATTCATTCGAAATCAATCAAAGCTAAGCAATTAACCACCAGATTTTAAATTTATCGTCTTTAGATATGTTTTGTACAAAGGGAATCCAGAGTTTTGTAATATACATCTATTTTCTTTGTTTTACTCGTAGACCTACTTATTGAAAATTGCACATTGTTTGAGTTACTGGCTACTTTGGTGTATATTATTTCATGATCTTTACATTGAACTCCAGATAATTAACTTCAAGTTTTGTTGTCAGGAATTGTCTTTACTATAACCCTTTGTCTTTACTATAACCCTCCTACTGGAGCTGTAAATCTGATAAGCTACTTGGCAACTACATCTACCACCTCCTTTTAAAAGGAGCTGGCTGGGACGGTGAACGTCTATGCTGCAAGGAACGGCTTCCTTGGAAGATTTGGCGTGCGAACAAAGTAGCATAATTATTGCTTCATAATTGTACTCTTTTTCTTTAGCTTTTTATAACATTTAGAATCAGCCACGCTTGGAATCAGAATGGTTGTGACATTTAGGACCGGAGTAATTGTGTGGAACACTTCAAGTTTAAAAAACAAGTCTAATACAACTCCGAAGGCTAAAGAATACTCCTTTCAGCGAACACATTGAGTTTTGATTTCGGACAATGGTGTTTCTCAAATTTCTTCCAAAACCTGCACCCATCTGTGATCTAAATGCAATCTTTTTTCCTCTTCAATTCATTTGGCAAAGACGAAGCAGATGTATGTTACGGGGTTTGAATTTTAATTACAGCGAATACCTGGTGCACAAGAAATGAAAACCGTTTTCATGTTGAAGAGAGCAAATAAGTATCCTTAATATCTAACTCGTATTGATATTATATAAACTTTAATCGACTATTCTAATGCCATTTGAACCAAGTCACATTTAATGACGTTTGTCGACCAGATTAAATATTCCTATGCATTATTATCTCATTAGGATCGTTTTCATTGCAGTAATCAGCACTATTTTTGCCTAACTCAAAAATAAACTTATTTTTAGTTGCATAAAAAGACACGTGCTATTGCTATTGCTGTTGGCAGTTTCCCATTAAACCAACGCATCTCCTTTGTAAACACTTTTGAAGCTAGTCTCCGAAAGATGTGGTGCACAGACCGCCGTTTTAAGTGATCAATTAGTACTTTGTAGATGTTTGTTCCTACAGTTGCCGTAGACCCTTTCAGAATGATCAGTGGTGCAGTTATAATAACATGCAACTTTTTTTCTCTTAAAGCCCTCTATTCACGTTACCTCAAAGTGCCTTTAACCGCGCAGAGGTGCGAAGATAAAATTGTCTGACGCTTTAATCCATGCCCGAGGGGTTAGAAAATAAAGAGACAGAAATGGTCCTAAAAGAACCGAAAACTCACACAATAGCTATGGGAATCTGGTCAGAGTTACTCATTTCGGGCTCTTCCTTGGAAATCCATCAATTAGAAATAAGAGCATTATTAAACGGAACTAGCGGATTTCTTTAAAGGTGAGGCTGTTTGCTTAAAAAGCCATTCACTTTCTAAACTTGAAGAGGTCCGACATGCTGCCAACAGCGATTCTTGAAGGCGATTAAACAGAATGAATTGGCCATGGATAGCCTTCTGTCAGATATTGCCTCTAACCCAACTCCTATAAAGAACAATGTATAATCTTTGCTATGCGAGGTTCCATATTTTGAGAAACATAGGTAAAACAAATTACGATCTTAAATTTAATCATCAATTTGTACAAAACTCTACACCATTGCACATTTATTACACGCATAAACTTGCGGGAATGATCGGTTTATTACGTTTTTGTCGTAAAATTGCCTCAAATAGAATTTTGTTGAGAATATTGATTTGCATTCACTGGCAATTGTTTGAAAGAAATACGGAGAAAATGATAGCGTGTATAATAGTTCATCACTGCAATATCAACGCAATAAACATGCTGGAATTACAATTTAACTTAAGCAGCATATTTTATGCTGTAAACGTATTCTAAACGACCGGGATCATCCAAATATAAATTCAACAGAAGACATGGATTATCTACAAAAAAAGGGAGAAAATAATTAACACGTCGTTTAATTGTAACGTGCTCGTTATCAGCACAGCACACAAATGAACATATATAATTAACATGTAATTATTTGCATAACAAGGGAAATATTGAAAAGTAGAAATTGTACAGTCCAGTTCTGAATTCTACAGGTATTTTAGGTTTTGTGAACTGCCTTAAGGGAAGGATTGCATTTGTGAAGAGGACATTATCACATGCCCTTTGCTTCTCAAAGAGGTTAACAACCTAATGAACACTTAGTTAGGAGACGAAGCGTGCATAAGTGCTGGGTTTCCCAAAGCTTATCTGATGTTATATGTGCTACTCTAACCTTGTAGTAACCTAATTGTTTCAGCTCCCGCTCCAGGGAGCGGCTCAATGGCAATCCGGGACTGGGCAGCCTTCAGGTGGGACAGCAGTAGCCAACAAGCCGTGAGAATGCCGCACTAGGGAGCCAGGGTCAGCAACATACTGCTACATATGTTGGGTCAATCTTTTCCTTTGTAAAAATTTAAAAACCTGGAAAAACTCAATCGTCTACGGGTTTTAAGAAAATGTTCCTGGATTTGCTCCAGAATAGTTTATAAAGACTCGCTTGTTCAAAGGTGAATTGTTTGAAGGAAAGAGAAGTGACTCAGTCACTGTGAAACTATGATTCGATTTAAACCGAGACCATAATAAATACGGGTTAACCAAATATCAAACCGCATTTACAATTTACCGCCCTTTAAAGGCTAACCTATTTAACAAGATGAAGTTTGACAGTTAGTTAGCATGTGTACTAATGAATTTGGATGATGTGTGCACACGTTTCGTTTGTGTGCATATATAAAGGATATGTGTACTTCATTTGCTTATATAACGCTATCCTTTTCATGCTATATTCTACCGCATGAATACACCTATACTGAGACCAGTAATTTGTTTACTTTCGAATATGACAGCGCAATTTTTTAAAAAGCGTTTCTGAAAAGTATTGCCCGACAGCCTAGCAAGAAACACGATTGTTTCATGATGTTGAAATCGGAAATATATGGTTTATTTTCGTCCTTTGTAAATGTATAGGACATCTAGAACGTTGGGAATCATCAGGGTTCCTGTTTGAAAAGTAGCTTATGTTGTAATTCGAACCGCACGAAACATGGTAATCAACACCATTGACATCAACTGCGTGGTGATATCAGGGTGCAAAAACTTTAATATTGTGTAAATCTACTTGACTGACGTTTGTGAAAGCGAGCATCAAAATCGGATGTCTTCGAGGTAATTTTCATTGGTGTAAGATTCGTCCTGAGATAATTACTTTTAATGTCAAAAAGATTTAGTTTAATATCATCTCTATTAGACTCTTGGCTGGGTAATTAAAGGTGCAGATTAAACCAGCGGGAAACAGATGGCATTTACTTACACTGATTCATTCAGTAAACAATGAAAAAGTCAATGGAACAGCCCTGGAACAAATGAAACCTTAAAGACCACTTACATTAGCAGGTACATAAGGACTGTCATCTATGAAAGGGAAAGAGAACAGATAATAAACACTTACGGATAATTCCAGCGGAAAAAAAAGAGTACTTACATAAGCATTAATATTGGTCAGTTTTGTTACTTAATTGACAGCCAGAAGTGAGAATATTTACCCGAATAAGAATATCGCTGTGATAATTTGCCAATGGAAAAATACGTAATTTAGTTAAATTCAAACATTATACTTGCAGTATAATTTGAAAAAGTTTATATAAATAGTTATACACTTAAAGGATATTGACCTGTGGTTTTCACGAAACCATTGTTGAAATAATAAAGAACAGCCGGCCACGCATTGATAGTGCAAATTATTCAATAACCACATTTTTTAATTTTCATTTGTTACAAAGAAACCAGCCTCCAGTGTTACACATGCTTCGGAGAGGACAATACAATGTCCATATATGATTGCTCATGTATTTTGTTAAAAGGCAATACAACATTTTTGGTTTAAATTGAATAACATTGTTTTGAATAGAATGTTGCATTAATCTATACTTTTCGCTTTTAAAGCGGATAAGTTCATTTGAATAAATAGAATTGAAGTTGGATGGACTTCCATTTGCTGCACTTAAAAAATAAACACTTTTTGGAACGTTCAAGATTAGATCTCGATCAGATGCATTGCAAGGAGAAGCGTTGGCAATCGTATTTTTCTTCGATGCACACAACGGTGGTCACATATTCAAAGTACTTTGGTTAATTGTGCAGAATATCAGCAGAGCAAAGCCTCTTGTTTCGATAAATTCGGTACGAATTAATTAACGTTGGATGTTTAGACGTTTTAAACAAATACAGTATTAATTGAAAAGAAGTTACATTTATGACTTGGTACAAAATACATTCGTGATGTTTTCTTCATATAAACAAAATATGCTTTCTAACCATAGCTAAACCTGCAATGTCACATTGTTTTATGGCTCCAAAAATGTACACATCCACCGACATTATTATTTCACTGCCATCATTTTGTTATCAAAAGTTATTTAAGTCCATGCACTGATTAAGATGCATTCAACATTCTCGGGTACGCAACTCAACCATTGCTTGATTTCGAGTAAATTCTTGGCATTTGAAAAAAATGTGATGACACGATTAAGAAAAAGAGATGGTCTCTTTAATGCTACTGTTTTCACACTGACTAATCAATGTCCATTGGTTCTTATATTTATTCTGATTGTATTTGCATCGCTAAAAATTTGCACAAATCTGAAACAAAAAGTGTCATTTTGTCAAACGATTGAGTTCAGTGTTTGTATGACAGAAAATGTTTGGTTTAAAAAAAGATCAATAGTTATTGCTTGTATTTCTCTTCTCAGATGCTGACTGATGGGCTGTCCATTTCATATTTTCTATTCTTAACTCTGATAGATATTTTAGGAAATATTTTGGAATTATGAAGTTCAAAATAGAAAATGCAACAAAATAGGCGACCTTTTGCTAGGCAACCTGCACATTTCCAACACCAAATAGCCCTTGCAGGCGTGGTAAACTAATCTATTTGAACGCTCCACTCTACAACATAATTCGATTTAATAAACCTACAAATCAACATTATATTTCTCCAGCCAAAAACTTTATGATTTCACATATCCAATTAGCAGTCCACATCACGTGAACGGCGTAACCTCAGATCTGAAATTCAGCCCTTTCTCTTAATTAAAACCACGTCGCGCAATTCTTTGGTATCGAGGCGCGAAATTTACTCCAAAGAATCTAGTCGATTCAGGTTAAACGATGCATCTTGCAGTGAATAAACGCGAACAGCGGATGAAATTACCAGTTAAATTACCCGAGTGCTCTCATCGGGGAGGAGCTGTTTGGCAACTGATTGATTGATGCTAGTTCGAAGAATGGCAGCTCGGCAGGACCTTTGTAAATTTAGAGTATTTTTGTTCCACTGTTGATTACGCCAACATAGGATACGCTTGGTCTAAACTGTTTAACCTATTGTTTCAAATAACCTTGTGCTGTTTAGATATATGTTCTGTTGCGAACGTGCAACGTAGGGACAATTAATTAATCAAGTGGATAGCTGAGCATGTTTTGTCAATTAATCTTAATTATCACCAATTATGGAAACAAAATAAATCACACTCGAATGTTTAACCTAGTACGCTGCTGTTCTGAAGGTACACTTGCGGTTTTAATAAACATTGATCCGTCTTCTTAGAAACTACCTTCAAATACATAGTCAAACATCACACACAATACTTTACAGAGAGGTTTTAACAGAAATACTCCATTTAATACGGAATCTCTCAGGCAGTTGTTTCCAGTTTCAGTCGTGTAAATATTGAACTAAATTAATTTTTTTTCCATTTGAACGGTACAGGTCATTAAACAAACATCTGAAATTTCGCTATTCGCTGTAATTTCAAGTTGTTCGTAAGACGTTCACTATTGGAAAGGGCAAATATTTTTTCCTGTTCCTACATGTCTTCTGTTATACAGGCTATGCAAAGCACAACGAGATGAAGTTGCATCTTTTATCATAAACAATGTATGAGATGGGATGGGAGCAACAGTTAAGATCCACCGCCATTTCCGGAACATAGTTCTGCGGCTGTATGAATCGCGTTATTGTTGCCTCTCTCGTCAGTTGTACGTTGCTCCTCCACCCGGGATGTTGTTGGATTTTGTTTTGGAAAGAGCAAGCAGAAGTTTGACTGAAATGAATTTTGCTGGCGAAGGTGGAGCTCGCTGTTACGGTTTATTCATATAGATTTGGAGAGGTGTGGGGTCGGGGGTGGGAGGGGGAAGTGCTATTTGGGATACAAAGCATCCACTAAAGCATTATATAAACGGTACAGTTTATATCTCAACTTCTTACAGCAGATAAGGCATACTCAAAAATTTGATAAGCAAACTTCAAGGCGCTGAAGGATTTTTTTTCCTTCCACTCAGGTCGACAGTATGTAGTTTACCGTCACTGCCCCAGAATGACGATTGAATAGCGACTGTTGCTTACTTTTAAAGCCTACTGGCCAACTATTGATTTGATTATCAAATGTTTCATGTACAATTTAAAGCTATAATTATTTAATTTCTTCACGACATTTTAAATAACTTGTTCCCACACCCTTTTTACGCCCCAAGACGGTTAACAGCTAATGGGTTTATATCGATCCGACAATGGGAAAAAAATGATAAAGTTCGTTTGCCCATGACTAATCTCGAACGCATAAATAGAACTATAGTCTCTCTTTTGAAAACTGTACCTGTTGCCGACAGCAGGCTATTTTAAAACCCTTTTGCAATTACCAATGGAAATAATTAATAAAGTGTTACTTACCCAGAATTCAATGTCGGAGTTACTCGGTAATTACATCATCATGATAACGACTGCCTGCAAAAGAAAGTGGAATTTCACATTTGGTTACTGTTGTTAACTGCACCAACGTCTCCAAACAACGGTGGGTGTAAACTAAAGAACAAAGTTGCTGTTTAAGTTTAGTTTGGGTCTCAGTTGTACCTGTAAGATACTGTTGTAGTTTGCACTTGATTATTTTGGAAGGTTCAGGTGGACACTAGGTAACAGTAACCAGAGCCAATCAGGAGTGTGCTTTCAGCCGCGTGCCATTCGGCCAATCGCAGGCGCCACATGTTGTCAATTTCATTCTAATGAAAACGTAACGAGCAACAATAGAGAGAGCGCGGGAGTGGACTCATTGAACCTCTGTATCCAGCAGCATTAATGCTAATACCGTCCATATCATCGCCTTCTCCCACACCGATCTTAGCGCCTCTCCTAATCTTCTCCGCGCATTAATACGCGGTGGTCGCAACTGTTTCAGGCACAGTTTGAAGAACTAGTTTGAGACTGAAATTTAAGGCAGAAATTGACAATTAGCAGCAATCTATTTTTAAGTGATGGAATTGCGCACGGAGCTCTCGACCAGCCAGACTACTCCGACAGCTATACCTGTCTCCGTGTCGGGGACTCTCCTCCGTGCTCCGCCTCTGCTCCTACGTGCCACCGAAAAGTATCCCAGGACTCCCAAGTGCGCCCGCTGTAGAAACCATGGGGTCGTCTCCGCTCTGAAGGGCCACAAACGCTACTGTCGCTGGAAGGATTGCATGTGCGCCAAGTGTACCCTGATCGCCGAAAGGCAGAGAGTGATGGCGGCTCAGGTAGCCCTGAGAAGGCAACAGGCACAGGAAGAAAACGAAGCCCGGGAGCTGCAACTTCTGTACGGGACGGCGGAAGGATTGGCCATTGCGGCTGCCAACGGCATGATCCCATCCCGATCTTCTTACGATGTGTTTGGCTCGGTCTGTTCCGAGGGTAACACAGGTAACACCCTCTCCCAAAGTTTTCAAAACTTTTATTTGGTCCATTGTAAGCTCCTTGTTTATATTTACAGCACTCGACAGTGGTCCGTCTAGTTCTGTTCAACGAAAAAAGCCGATCGAGAAATCCCATAAATAACCCGTATTTGTGGGAAGGTTTCTGCCACCAAACCTTGTTTATTTTAAGATCGTAGTAACAATGTCTTCACAATTAATCCGCGCGCCGCATACAATTAAATATTTTAATATGATTTTCCAAAATAATTAAACAGTAACCGCTTGAAGTCAAACTTACAAATACAATGCTGCTCGGAAAGTTTCATTTGTTCCGGACTGAAGAGTAGGCAACTTCACACCGTCCCAGCCCCGAGCAGCAGTGGAATTCTCCAGGCCTTAGACATTCCGTGTAGGTAGTTCGATGCAAAACCTGGATTAAGAAACACACCAGCCGTTTTAGAATGTAAATCTTCAACCACTGACGATTTAGAGAAAACAAAATTTTCTACGAAAACTGGTATTTGTAATTGTGTTTCTTTTTGGAGAATTGCCCTTTTTTTCGGATTTCGGTTATCACAGCGTTTACTTCAGAAAGCATTCAATTCCATTTCTATCAATTTCTCGCATACAGATCACACAAATATTTGTACCATTTTGAATAATCATGGAAAAAGAATGCGAATAATGCGATTTTGATGTTTATTTAAAATAAAAAAAACGAGCTTGTATCAAAGGACGGCGCTATGAAGGAACAATTTAACAATGTTTGTTGATTTTTAACTTTGAAAACAATAGTTATTCCCAGAAAACCATTTCACTAAACATTTCCACAATTTGACAAATAATTGTACTGTCATATTATTGGGGAATTGGTTTATTTGGGAATAACTGACACAATAAACTGTGACCATGCCAGAACTCCTGTCTCTTTGATTAAATCACTGATCTTCAGATCGTTTGTTGCCTTTTTTGTTTAACCGGAGAACTCACTTACGAGACCTTCAAAATTCCAAAAAATAATGTTTTATTCAAGTGACAGTAACGATTAAGAATCAAAGTAATTGCAAATACAATTTACATAACAGCAGTTACAAAAACGTTTAAACGAATCGCCATTAATTGGAGGGGCAGTTTCGACATTGGGGCTTGTTTTGGATATATAACATTAAGCTCTAATATTCTGATGTGGTCACATGTCAAATACATTTACTGATGTCAAATTGTTAGCTGACAAAGATGCAACTTTTGCACGCCACCAAAAGTTTTCACAATTCCATTGTCTCTTTGTAATCTTTATTTTCAACTGGAATGTTTTATTGAATTCATTTATAACCTAATTATAACTGTTCAAACAATGACTTTAATATTTAAAAAAAAAAATCAATATGGATTATCATAGTTTAAAACCTGTTTAAATTTCTTGATTTGCAGAAACTAAACTCCAGAAGTATGAATTATTTCAAAAGAGTTTAATGCCAAGAGCTGGTACTCCTCAGCAGTCCTTAGTGAAGCCGATACCGGGTGACAGTGAGCCGGGTACAGGTAGTGTGCCTGGGACTTCGTCGCCAGACGTTCGCCATGGATCTGGATCAGAGAACGGCGATGGAGAATCATTTCTTAGTTCTCCCATCTGTAAAGTTCTTAAAGAAGGACAAGATAGCCCAAGGACCATCACACCACTGGGCTCTGACTCCGGGTCAGAGACAGAAAAGGACGAGAGAGACGGTACCCCGTCCACAGGTGCCCGTCAGAGGACTCCTATTGAAATTCTAACCAGGGTTTTCCCCTCACACAAGAGAAGTGTTCTGGAGCTAGTCCTGCAAGGTTGCGGAGGGGACGTTGTCCAAGCCATCGAGCAGATTCTGAACAACCGAGAGCAAGAAAAGGTTTCCGAAGAAACTTGGCACCGTGATAGGACTCATCAGGCTGTCCAAGGACCTACATCACATCGACCTCTGGTAGCTGGGGCGGTGCCGCCTGCCATTGGGACGCTGGGCAACAGGTCTGCTTTTTCACCACTGCAACCTAATGCGGCCCATTTTACTACAGATCCCAACGCCTATGCCATTGGACCACATCTAGGACTCAATCCTCTTCGCTTGGCATATTCGACCCATAGTCGAGGACTTGCTTTCATGACGCCTTATTCAACAACGGGCCTTGTCCCAACACTGGGCTTTCGTCCACCAATGGATTACGCCTTCAGCGACCTCATGCGAGATAGGTCCAACTTGCACAAAGATCAAGCGTACACTAATGGACTTTACGGATCAGTTGTAAATAATAACCCGGATAAACAGTAAGTTGCAACACTCTCAGGCGTCTTAAAATTTGACAAAGCACTGGCCCAATTGTTCGAAACTGTCCCGTGCCTACGTGATTATTATAGAACGGGCACAGGAGAAAGTTAAATATTTAATAATAAACATGATTGTACATTAAAAGTGCTGACGTGCAATTTTGTCAACGGTATACTTCGCTGGTATTGTAATTCATAGCCATACTCACGGAATTCCTTTTTTTTTTGACTATTGTGTACGTAGATACGAGTGTAATGTCTATAATTAATCCTAAATTATTAATGTGATATGTAGAAAAAAGTTATTCACAAGGTACAGCGGAAAGCGCTCTACGTACCTTTGTAAAGGTGCAGATTAAATATAATATAGACTTTTGAGTTGGGACTTGCTTTGCGACTGTTTCTTTCAAGTAGACTTTGGCAAATGTGTATATATGAAACGTAAGGATAACCAGCTGCATTTGTAGTTGTTATTTAGGCAAAGGCTACAGCAAGACGGTAGTATAATGTTCAGTCATGCATTTACATTGTATATAGAAGCTTGGTGCTGGTCTGTGTTGATTCTAGCATTTATTTTCATGTAAACAGTCAAAGTTATGTGTTTGCATTTGATAGAAATAAAAGTTATTTTGTAAACAAATTTCTGCACACGCATTTTGATTTAAATATTTAATTTAACCAAACCAAAACTGACAGCACAATAATTTATGCATATTTTTCGAAATTATTTTGGTACACCTCATCTTCGCTCGACGAGAACGAAGAAATCTGAAATATTTAGTTGTAGTCATCGAAAACCCAGAGTCGAAAAACACTGCAGCGAATTTCTGATTTCAGCGAATACATAAAGTTGGTGAGGTGTTGTCTTTTCAGGCTTATTTAGAATTGTTTACAAAACTAATAAAGAGAAAAGGTTCCATGAAATGTCTGATGTTTACAACTCAGTCCGAAGAATACATCCCAGTGACATTAAAACTTTATGACCGTCTAGATATAATAAAGAATGGCTCACTGCATTGAATTAAGATTGCATAACTCATCAAACTCGTAACCATGGCAACCTAATCCTGCTAAACGGCACTCTGGCTGAGTTGATCTATTTACTTTCTTGCATCAAGTATGACTGGGTAAACACGATGTCTAAAAGGACAATGTTCAAATTGCAGCTACCGCTCATATACTGATGCCCAGAAAGAGACGTACGAAACTTATTCAAACAGGGAAATTTCTATAAACTGCACGGATTAATTTCCGCCTCAGAATTTTTTTTAATTTTGCCCAGTTTTTACTTTCACACAAATATCGTTGCTATTATTGTAAGCAATGCAATATATTCTGCGCCATTTTACTAGACTTCGTATAATAATCCCGTCATTTCACCCAACGCACATTTTTGCAGGCAATATGACAAAACTATGTGCGGATCTTTCAGGCAGTGAAATATAATATGGCGACAATACAATGATTTAATAAACAGGGCTTTAATAACAGCTAATTTGATTGGGTTGCCTAATTCCACTTTAATTGGAAAAAACACTGTATTTAGGATGGTAGCAGCATGTCTGTACTAGGAAAGTGGCCAACATCTGAACAAACCTTCACAGCTGAATTTGTTCAGGATGAGTTTGTATATCTGGGATTACTGCCATGGGCGTTAGGATACAGAGGACTGCCACCGCGGTTATGTAAGGTCACAACATTTGGACTTTCGCTAGGTCTCTGTCAGGCTGCGGTTTATTACAGACAACAGTGAAGGTTTCATTAATTTAAAACCTGAACGTTGATATTAATCTGATTTACACCACATCTTGCTTTGGAATGAGCAAAACTTCAACCTCTTTGATGCCACTTTGTTTAATTAATTGCAAACATATTTTACATTGATAAACGAAGCATTACTAAGCATAATATTGTGGAAATATCGACTCGATATATTCCTGAAATACTTAACAAGCGGCACATTTAAGGACCTTTCGCCCAAGTATCTCTCAGATATGTAAAG